AGCGATGGAAAAGATGGATTTTTCATTTCATTCCTATAGTTTTCTGTGTGATTTGGGCACCATTATTTAACTTCATCATAATAGTGATCAATCCATGGTGCACGAATGTATGGGATTTTAGTCGAATTCTTTGTGGTTTTCCATGTTCTTATGGAAACAAGGCTTTAAGTGAATTTGCTTTTCTCTTCAATATTACCCTGCCCAGTGTAACCATTATATTGGCCAATGTAACGTTAGTTATTCGAGTGATCTATCAAAAGATGTCCCGACAACAAGGAGTGAACTGGCGACGTCATCGTAAAATGGTATTACAACTATGGGTAATCTCATCATTTTATTTGGCAATTTGGTTACCTTTGGTTAGTACACTATTTATTGAAATGACTGTACAACCGTCATTTATGATTGATCATTTGGAAGCAATGCAATTTGCTCCGTATTTTATTCCACTTTTTTTGCCAATGATATGTCTCAGTTCACAACCAGAATTAGTAAGCAAAATAAAGAATCTTATTCGGATGCGACCAATGAACAGAGTTAGCACTGTAACTTAAAATCCAAACGTAGGACGACTGTTGACTATTCCTGCTGCTCAATGACGTTTATTAGTGACTTGCATACCAATTATACATTCCCACTTCTATTTGGAATCGAACAAAGATGTTCAACATTATCTTCACCCAAAGCCATTTTTGTATAGTTCTATGTCATTCTATCTGTACAAATGATCGTAAATGTCTCAATGTTATCTATGTATTCGATTTTTTGCTTTTGCTTTAGTGATCAATAGTCTGTTTCTGTGTATGTCTTCAAAAAAAGTTAAATAAAGCCTTGTTTAACAATCATTTGCAATATTGTGAGTGATAATTGTTTTTACTTTTCTATACGAATTCGATCATAGGAAAACCAATCAATACTTGAAAACAAGAAATATATTTTGATTTTCGTCGATATTCTGGTACTCTAGAAGATCATTATTGCAAGTTTTAGAAATTTTACATCAATCATTGAATATAGTTAAGCATCATTTCAGTAATAATAAAATATTTTAGTATGCTCTTTCGTAAACAATGACATGAAATATTGAAAGAAAGATTTTTCTAACGCTAGAAGCGTCTCGCTTGATATTTCTAAACCAACAACATATTTTCATATTGAATAATTTTTGACTATTTGAAAGGATTTTCAGAATACACAGAAGAAATTCTTTTCTTTCTTGTGATGTATCTGAACTTGTCATGTTGAGGGTGTGAGTGTAGAGATTATAGAAGATCCACATTCACACCCATCATCAAAGAAGTATAATCGGTCGATTTCACTTTTACTAAAGTATAATCTTGACTATCTGACTTTGTCATTGAAAATTAATTTGTGGGTACAGTTGAATAATGATATTTATTCTATCGAAATTGAAAGTATTACTAAAATATGATCTCTTCTTCTGGGATAAAAGAAAACTAAATTTTCTTTGAAAAATTTTAAAATGAAAGATTTTTTATAAATGATTGGGTTACATGAAGACAAATGATCCTCCAATATCGTGGAGATAGTCATCAATTTTATCTAATTCCAATTTATATAAAAATAACATCGATGTATTATCTGTGTAGGCGTGAGTGTGGGTATGAAGACTATATATATCACATACCTACACTTACACCCACTCATCCTTAACCCTCAAGGGTTATGCTAATAGCTTTATTATGGAGAAATGAGATTTTATATAAATAAAAGAATATCACAGCATAAACGAATAAAATAGAAAATGATGACACAACACCAGCAAGAATGGATATGCATACGTACATTTGATTCAAAGTTGCTATATCTCAGCGAATTAGAGGAAAAGTTCCGAATTTCGATATTTTTTCAGAACACTTTCTGACTTGGCGATTTCTATTAGATTTTTTCCTAATGATGATATTTTTTTAGATCTCATCTTTGGTGTGTTTGATTACGATGTCTAATTGAAATTTTATTAACAAACTACTAACAGTAAACGCACCTTTCAATTTAGATTATTTTCGAAATAAACTAAATACTTTTTATTGCCGCAAAAAGTCATCTAAATAAATAGTTTGCTCAACATGAACTGGATATTAAGCTCAAGAAATTATTTTCTCACAGGATATTTTCTACATCCTAAACTGAGTTTCATTTAGTCATAAATAATCAGTTCGAGTCACTATTTAAAAAGAATCTTCTTTTACGAAGATATTGCTTAAAACAACATAACTATTATTGATTTCTGATTTTCCTTGAACTGTGCATGATTAAGTAGATATAAAAAGCATCTCAATTTTTTCGAGGTTTTACAGAAACATTTCATGCATAACCTTTTGGTCTGTGAACCCTGAATGAATTTAACTGAAGTATTTATCATTGACAATGATAATGACTCGAAAAGACGATATATCGAAGAATCGATTTATTTTATGAATCATTTATAAACATAACAACGTATATTACAATTGTACGGAGAAAGTATATTTATCACGAAAGTGCAAGATGGTTATGACAGGATGGAGGAAAGAGACAATCTGTTGATCTCTCTTACTAGTAGCATCACCCAGCCATTCTGTCATCATAACCTTAACACTGCATATGCATGAAAAAAAGACAAAAAAAGTTAATAACGAACTCCGTACAACGTTCGATAAGACCATTTTTGACTAGCGAAGCATCACAGTTATTAATTTCTTATTTCTTCACCATTTTTGATTAATATTACGTTCCTCTTATGCAATTAACTCAATTATGTACTAACTTATGAATTTAAGTTTTTATTTAAGTTTCTAATTCGAATAATTATATAGTGAAACAAAAGAATATAATCGAATGGATGATAGCTAATAAAAAGAAGTTACTTCTAGATAGTTAGTAGAAAAATAGAAGAACAAAATGAAAGTTGCTCACATACAGATTATTTTAAAAAAATAGAATTGAGAATAAAGTATATTTTCACGAAAAAAAAGTTATAATATAAATGTTTCTGATTGATTTTACGTGAGATTGTTGCTGTTGGTACACGGAAAATCAAGCCAAGCTATATTCTGTCTCAGGGAATATAAGCATTAAGAGTACGACCATCAAGATTAAGACAAGTATAATTATATTTAGTATAAGTACAAGGAGTACAAGAAGCAGTACTGCAAGGAGCTAAAATTAAAAAAATAGTATTAATAGATAAATATTATAAGGACAACAATGCTAAAAATCGATCATGTTCGATCGTAAATTTGAAATGCACTATTCACAAACGTGCGAAAGAAAAGAAATAATGCTATCATTCGAAAATTCTGATTGAAATGGGACTATCTGGCACCAGCTTAAAAGCGAGGTAGCTAATTCTTACGAATCAAGGTCAGGTAAGATTATTCGATGACACTTGCCCTTATCTGCACTAGTCTAAAATAATTCAAATTCAGCTGAAATGGGGAAAATTAAGAGAGATCAAACAAAATTAACAGATGTATACCCTCTAAAAATACTTATGGTTTAGCCTTTTATGGCAAAAGAGTTTATTCGCGTCACGAAAAATGCTTTGATGCAAACATATTGATTCTCTATGGTGAGAACTTTTCTATCCTTTTGTACATGCAAAGAGAAGAAAAAGAGCAATCGATAATAGAAGACCATTTTACTCGTAGGAATGTCTTAATAAATATGATATTTATTGGTAACAGTTGCTTAAGTTTCTAATACTGTTATTTGACATTGGTTTGAAATTATATGAAATAATTTCATTGATTTGAATCTTGTCTAGTAATAATCATAGTGGTTTCTCAAGGGAGATTATAATACAAGGACAAAAATAGCGATTTTAGAGATAAATATTGAAACTCTCCTTGCTTTAAAATGTCATTCAGAAGATCATGGTTTCCTAGACACTGAGTTCGAATAGCATTTTGAGAAATTTAGAGATGGAATAGATGTAGAGCAGGAATGACGCAACGCTGTGTGCGATCTATTGTAGATAGCGATAATAGGATCTACATATATCAATCTTCTATTCAAGGTCACTCAAAAGTCACGATTCTGAAATAAAATTGAATCTTGAGGATGTGTGTGTGTTTTAGTGTGAAAAAAGTATTTGTCTGTCAGTCATACCAACACCCACCCACACCCACCAAAAGAGGGGGAGATACTCTTAATTCGAATCGAATTTTAAAACTTTATAACATATTTTTCGAATTTTGAATAGCGCATAATTCGAATCTTCGAATTTTTCACTATTCAACTGATTACAACGAGGGAGGCAAGGATGTGCGTGAGAGGAACTTCTCTGAGGGGGAGGGAGTAAAATCCTTAATCCCGCATCCGCACTCTTACCTTCTCATTGTGAATAGTGAAAGAGTCGAAAAGTCAAAAACTTGAATAAGACCTTTGAATTCTACATGTATTTAAACCTTGGTCTAACGAGGAACGCATTAAAATCGCACTTACCACTTGTTATGGATGGTGTTGTATTTGTAAGGCCTCCTGCACGTGCTATAAAAGAGATGTAAGTAAAAAATGCAAATCCATCGAATGGTAGCGGTTTCAATCGTGTTCAACTTTGAAAAACAGAAATACATACTCGTTGTCGCGGTTCGTGCTGTTGTTGTGGTGGTTCGTACTGTTGTTGTCGTTGTCGTAGCTATTCAAAGGGAAAACGAAAAAATCATCTTCAATATCTCTCAATCTTTTACCTGTTGTATTTCTTGGACAAACGAGTTTATTTGCTAAAGCGAGTGAATAGCAGACTGGTTGACCACAACGTGTACTGTTCACACAGACTGTATTTTCAATAGGACATGTTCGATTATCTGTATTGCATCGGACAACATCGGTACAACGCAACACAGCTAAAGCACAAATTCCTACACTTGGACTTATCGTCAATGAAAAACATTCGCAATCACGATTGGATGAACATAGTGTCGATTGAGAGTTACATGCAGTGAAATTACATATCGAAACCGTTGTGCTATCTAAGAGAAGAACAAGAGAAAAGAATGAAAATAGTTCTAAGTTAATTACTGGGTAGTTGTTGTTGTTCGGAAATATTTCTATTAGAGAGAACGATGAAAATGAATTTAATATTTTAAATATAATATTGGATACTTACACTAAAACTATAGTATAGTAGAAAAATACCAAAATTAAACTTGAAATTTTCATCCTTGTCAGAAGTATTTCGAATTCACACAAATAAAATTTACTGCATGTGAAGCTTCTTGCAAGGTTTTTTATATAGATGTTGTTGGAGATGAGAATGAATAACGCAGTCGGATTTTTCTAGAATGCAGTTACTTTATTTTTCTCTCGAAAAAAATAATTTTTAATGTACACTACTTTTCACTCAGGTAATCTTCGTTTTAAATGTCGTATGTTTACTCAAAAAAACAAATCACTCAAGACCTCTTCCGTTCTGCCACTTCGTCATGTTGGAAAATAACCACACCATATAACAAAACACACGTATGTGAGCGACTGTTTCAACAAAAATACTTTTTGTTTTGACGATCGAAAATCGTGATATAATAAGATAGTTTCAGCACTTCAGTGTAGGTGTGAGTGTGGGTATAGATGTGAGTTTGGATCTGGGTTTAGGTGTGGGTGTAGCTATAAGAAAAAGACTGAATCCACACCCAGTCCCTCAAGTTGGAATATTTTCTGTTTTGACTCATTCACACCGTCAAGATCACGAAAATATTTTATAAACTCATATATTTAGATTCATCATTGGTCTGAGATTTCAACGAAATCATTCATTATCCCTCGGCATTAAACGTTTCAGAGAAAATGCAATGGTTCTTATCGAAAGGACTGAATCGTGCCATTCTGTTTTAAATACTTGCTTATTCCATCGTAATATCCTATTTTCTTCTGAATTTTTTTAAAATAAACTCGTGAAAACAATTCACTGCTCGCTCTTGTTGTAATCATAACAGAAAACAAATATCGATCGAAAGTAGAAATAAACTTTCATTCTATACAAAGAATCTCGTTCTCGTAAACGTTTTTCCACATAGATGATGTGGGTGTGTGTGCAGATTTATTCATGGCTACAAAGAAACTGCACTTCTCGTGTATATGCAACAACAATCGATAAATCGATATCTTGTAGTAGAAGGTATTCATTATGCAGAACAGTTGAATAGAGTTTAATCGTCAACACGATTTTTAAATAATTTGATTACAAATCAAAATTTTATTTGTTTGGAAACACGATTTGGACGTCTTTTTTCATGTATAGTTTTTGTCAACATCGTAACTCATTGAGTGTGAAACAACGTCATTTAATATCACACGAACAGTTAACGAAATCCAAAAGTTCGTAGTCTCAATTTACTTGATTCAACATTTAATTCAGATTCATATTATATACCTTTTCTCTATGAATTAATTCAAAATCAATATTGTGAAAAAATTTCTTTACAAACACGTTTAGAAATGATCAGATATTGAATAAAATTCATGAGAAATCAATCGAAATAGTAGATTCATTTCACAAATCAATTATTTATTGTCATCAACACAGGTTTCAAGTAATTCATATATTTCCATTAATGTAATTACGTGGTACGCCGTTATGTAAACAACGAGAAAAATGGTCGAATTAGCTGGTAATCTGGATATATATAATAATTTATATTTGAAAAAAAACGAGATAAAGAAATATTAACGATTATTCATACAGACTCATCACTTGATATATTGTATATGAAAAGAGAGAGACTGTCTTTCTATCATTCAAGTTTGATTCTAACAAAACTTGCTCTCACATCCTTTGCTTTCTTAAACTAATATAATATATAAATAAACAATTATTATCATTCGTTGATGATATATTTAATCGCATAGGCTTAGTATTATATGTACAATAATTTTCAAACGAAATTATTTTTAGCAGATAGTTTTTTATTTGTGTCTAGAGACACAATATAGTAAAAAACAGATTTTTCTGGCTAAAAGGCACTTCAGTCTAAAAGACATATCATCAGATGCCAAGTATTCTGTTTGTGCTAATTGACATTATATAAGATGCATAGTCAGTGGAATCAACGTCAGTACGTTGTAATGTGACCCAACGGCCTCTGGCTATGGTATTTATAGTATAATTTCTTTCTAATTAAAGCTGAAGTACGTGATCCAATTGGTATTATGTCATAGGACGTCTAGCACATTGTTCTATTTTAGGCTAGACGATGCAACAGCAATATTAGATTACTGGAAGTAGTTTCAAGTGCTCAAATGTAAGACTTACAATTGTTTTAATTGTTGATCGGCATGAACATGTGTGAAAAAATTATTTGTAAATTAAAATGATTGATTTTCAAAGTATATTCTTATTTTTTGTTTTGTTTTTAAAATATTTAACATTCTTTAAACATGATTTTATTTGAAGTTGTAAATAATACAAATTGAGTCTAATCTGTATGATTCAATTGCTCCTTATTCACATGCCCCGAGAGAGAGAATGAATATCGTCATTGCAAAGATCAATATTATTATTTCTTTTATAATATTAATAAATATATGCACACGTATGAAATCCATTTCTTATCATCTAAAATACTTGATGTGTTATTATTTAAGTCAAATAAATATCTATAGAACAGAAAAACGAGATTTTTTTTTCTTTGAACTATATTAATTATATCTTATTCAATCTTAAGAAAATTTTTATCACTAAATAGAATTTTTAACATTTATTATAAAATAGTAATTAGATATTTTCTTTTTTTCTTCTTCTTCTATGTGTAGGTGTCTGTATGTTCTATTTGGTTATAGATCATAGGTGTCGGAAATTAGAAAGTTCATACCAATCTCTTGTTGTTATTGCTATTCAAATAATAGTTTGCATGACATTAGAAAAAAAACCAACAGACAATCAATGTTTAATGTCGTTTAAAGTTGTTGAAGGATAAATATTAAGATAAAAATTTTCCTTAAATAAATATTCTTATATATGTTAGCAATAGCTATGATTTAGTTTTCTTTTTATTATACTTATTTCCTATTAAGAGAGATGTTTTCAATATTTTCTCTCTATTTCTCTTTGCTTTTTTTTCTCCTTTATACTCATCTTTTTTTCTTGGATTTTTTGTCCTCACTGATATATATATATATATATATTCATATCGGGTCATTTGAGAGCATTCGTCTGTTTGTGTGTTCAAGTGGCCAACGACACAAATCTTCAATGCTATATGCGTATATGATTGGCACACAATATGTGTGTTCTTTCGTCATTGAGCAGCTCAGTTTAGTTGAAAAAAACGCTTATATTTCTGTGTGTTCACACGCACACATTACAAAGCTTGTAAGGCTCGTAAGAGCGGAAAAAAAAGGGAAAGAAATAATAGAATGACAGACAGGCAGTAGTCGTTGTAGTTGTAGTATAGCAGGAAAAAAAAGGAGAAGAGAACGAGTTTGCCTTCGCTCGTTTTTTTTTGTCATTGTGTATCCTCTTTTTTCGCCATTGCAACAATCTCTTACACGACTACGTCTACTTCTAAGCTATAGTAGTATTTTGCGCACATGTCAAAAGATAGAGAGGAAAAAAAAAACATAAGATAAAGGAGAGAAAAAAAAATGTATCGTAATGCTGTTATTATTGGTAGTGACATAGTGTGAGTATCGTACTCGTTAAGATCTATTCCAAGGTCGCCTATGACAAAAACACATCGGGAATATCTATTGATTCATTCATTCATTTATTTATTCTATTTATCTATCTATTCGACTGAGACCTAGACATGCAACTGTCGCACACCATATCTAACTTTGCTTATTTCATGTTCTTCTATTCCAAAATCTTTTTCTTTTATTGCGTCGTGCTCTGTTACTCATCAACAAAAGCATGCAAACCCTGGATGTGTAGAGTGATGAGACAGTCTTTACTTCTTTTTTTTTCTCTCTGACACACATACACTTTTCTCTCGATCACCCTCATCGTTCACGCCGAACGTATGTGCTCTATCTATCCATTTCTTTCAGTAGTATAAACATGCATTTCTGTTCAATAACAATCGTCGTCGTCGTCGTCGTTGTTGTCGACGAAAGAAGAAAAGCTAAAGAACATTACTGTTTCTAGAATACGCGCACACGGCTAAGAAAAAAAAACAGAAGACGATGCTATATGCACGCGTACATTTTCGCTATTTTTAGCCATTCCAATTCTTTGGTCTACTACCATTATCCGCCGCGCGTTTCTTTTTTGCATTTGTTCTTTGACAGCAAACGAGCGAGCGCGTCGAAGATCCCACCCATTCAGTGAGCTAGTTGTTGCTTGCTATTGCAACAGGAATCTTTTTTTTTCTTTTCTTTTTTTCTTCTTCTTTCGCGTATGTTCGCCCACAACATTTCTAGATCATCATCATCATCATCATCATCATCATCACCGAGCATTATTAACGCTACTCTCTTTGGTTTTTTTTCTTCAGTTTATATTTATATGTTATACTATGTTGAATATACAACGTGTTACAACTTCGAATATGCATCATTGGTCTGCCGATTGGATGATTGATCATTATCGTTCATTGACACCACTACGATATGTAGCGGTGTATTTGACTAATAACATATGGTAAGTACCATTAAAGAAATATTTTCCACCTTCATACCTCCATGTGCACGTGCTCATAAAAGATTTTATTACAAAAAAAAACTCTTTCTTTTTCCTTTTCTCGTTGGTCAAATGCAATTTAAGACAAAATGGTTTTCTTTCTCGTTAAATAAGTGACATAGAGAGAGAGAGAGTAAGAAAGTAGGATGTATGCCGTTGACACATACATAAAGTAATTCTTTCTTCTTATTCTTCTCGTTTTTTTTCATGCGTTTGGAATGTCATAGTTCAGAAGAAAGGACAAAAAACAATGTTATGTGTCATCATTATTTTCATAGCGAAATACATAATAAACATCAGCTGAAATTTCATTTTGTCAATGATTATCTCATGGGAGATTTATTTAATGTTGTTTTTTTTTTCTTTAAAGCTCATATCGATAAATAATAAATGATGAGCACTACTACTACCAATCCACAACAACCGGTGACACTATCATCCGATGAACTTTTATTGCCATCATCACCACCACCATCGTTACCACCACCACCTCTACCACTGCCGCCCCCTCCTCCTCCTCCACCACCATTAATACCACGTTCAGCTATAGTCGTCGATCATCGAATAAAAACACGTACGAGTGGTGTTGATATTGATTCAAAACAATTGTCAACAACAACAATAAAACGTTCACAAGCTATATCAAATATACAAGATTTAGATGAAGATAGTCCGGTGACATTTGAAATTGAACCGAGTGATCATCATCATGTACGAAAAAAAGTTCATATACAAAATACATCATTAAGTAATCGAACAATTAATGAATCAATGTCATCTATTGATAAACAACATACGGCAAGTAGTGGTGGTGGTGATGAATCAGATACACGTTCTGAAACAAGTGAAAAAACACCTGAATATATTGAAGAAGAACGACCAATTTTACCCGGTATACATGTTAAAGGAGCAACACTTAATCGATTAATTCGAACATTAATTGATTCATTTCGTAAGTAATCTTTTTGTTTAATTTATTTATTTTCTATTCCTTTTTCTGTTTAAGAACCAAATGGAACTGTTATTGATGATAGTGAATATCCAAAAGTCTTTTTTCTTATGCATAAATGGATAATGGAATCCGAATATTTAAGTAATATGCTCTATGATCTATTTAAACATCATGGAGATGATTATAAAAAATCACTAAATATAAATGAAAAACGTCAATTTAAAGAATATCAATTACGTGTTTGTCAAGCTTATAGTTATTGGATAAAAAATTTTCCCATGCATTTTGATCTTGATAAACGTTTAAAAGAAGCATGTGAAAAAATGGCAAGTCTTATTCAATCATCTGGTGATAATGAATGTATGAATTTGGTTGATCTATCACAAATGTATGAAAAATATTCTTCGTTTATTTCTAAAATAATTCTTTTATTTTTCTAGACCATCATTTGATTGGATGCGTCAAATGACAGTACGAAATCAAGCTAAAAATAAGATTGTATCACTTGGTTTTAATAATATTGAATCACAAACATTAGCAGCTCAATTAACATATTTAGAATGGAAAATTTTACGTCGAATAAATTTTACTGATTATAAAACTTATGCTATTAAAAATACTTTACAAGATAATCCACGTCTTGAACGTTCAATACAATTTTTTAATGGTTTATCAACATGGATACAATGTATGGTTTTAAGTAAAATGACACCAAAACAACGTGCAGAAATTATACATAAATTTCTTGAAGTTGCAAAAGTAATATGATTTATAAAATAAAGATTTTTTTTTTTTTTCTATAAACAAATATATTTTAGCATTTAAGAGAATTACAAAATTTTAATACATGCTTAGCAGTTATTGGTGGAATATCACATAGTGCATTAGCTCGTTTATCTAAAACAATGATGTGTTTATCAACAGAAGATATTAAAGTATGATATTGAGGAAACACGAAAATTGTTTTTTATATATTAGTTTTTAGTTTCTAAGTGAAATGACAGATTTACTTTCATCAAATTCGAATTATGCTCAATATAGAAAAAGTTTATCAGAATCCGAAGGTTTTAAGATACCAATAATGTAAATAGAAAAACAAAAAATTTCTTTATTAAATAATTTTTTGTTTTTTTGAATATTCTAGTGGTGTTCATTTAAAAGATATAATATCACTTCATGTTGCATTACAAGATCGTCTTGAATATGATTTAATTAATTTTAGAAAATTAGTTCAACTAAGTATTGTTTTTCGGACATTAACGAATCTACAAATATCAATACCACCGATTCAACCAAATCATGATTTAATTAATTTATTAACTGTAAGAAGACAAAAAAAATACACATATTTGTTTGATGTTTTATTTTGTAGCTTTCTGTTGAATTAAGTTATACTGAAGATGAAATTTATGAACTTTCATTAGCACGAGAACCACGATCATCTGTTTCATCGGTAAGGAATTTAAATCTATGTAAAACTCAATATCGATATATGCCAGGATTCTTCTCTTTATGAAGCTGTTTAGTCTACACCGGAATTATAGATTATAAATAAACTTTTAATTACTTCTAAGATGATTTTCTTCTATGTACATAAATGACGATATTTCAAGCATTTCGAATTAGTTTGCGTCCTTGTATAAGATTATTACTTGATAGTCATATATATATATATATAGCATTAATCTATAATAGCGTTCTTTTTCTTATCTTTATAACTAATTGTATTTAGCCTGATCAAACATCTCGAGGTTTATCTCCTGGTGAATCAACAAATGATTCTAACAGTGATCCATATAAGAAAAAAGAACAAGTTCTAAGTCCAGTTTTTGCTGATTGGGCAGCTGGAGTTAGTCAAACAATTGATATTCAAACTATTCAACGACATGTTAATGCTATGGTTGAAGCAGTTTTTACTACTTATGATCATGATCGTGATGGTTATATATCACATACAGAATTTGAAGAAATTGCACAAAATTTTCCATTTATCGACACATTTACTGTACTTGATGCTGATCAGTAAGAAAACGAAATTTTAATTTTAAACAAATTAATAATATACATTTTATTCTAGAGATGGAATGATATCCAAAACAGAAATGCGTAGTTATTTTATACGAGCTAAATATCATGATTTAAAAGGTGAATTTAAACATGATTTTCATGAAACAACTTATTTTAAACCAACATTTTGTGTACATTGTACTGGTCTTCTTTGGGGCCTTATTAAACAAGGTTGGAAATGTAAAGATTGTGGTATTAATGCACATCGTCATTGTAAAGATCAAGTTGTTATGGAATGTCGACAAAAACGTCAACATCCAGTTAATAAACAAAGTTCAGTAACTGATTCACGTCCAAGTCGAAATTCATTTCGTATACGTAAAGCACGTAAACAAAAAGCAACACAAACTGAAGATATTAATTTTTCATCGTCATCATCATCTGCATCATCAGAAAGTTGTACAAGTTCATCCGATGATGAACAACAACCACAATCTGAACAACAACAACAACAACAACAACAGCAGCAACCACAAACTATTGATAAATCTACACCTCATAATCGTTGGCATTTACGTAAACCATCATCATTAAAACGACGTAAACAAATTTTATCTGATTCAAATGATGATTATTATTATACACATCCACCATCACCACAACAAGCAAATTCATTAACAACAATAACAACAGTAAATAGTACAACATCAACAACAACAAATACAATTCCAACACAACAATTAATTCCACGTGGACCATTGATTTGTTCGGATAGTTTTGAAAAATGGAATGATCGACATTTTACATGGAATCGTCCATTACCATCATCAACATTACTAACACCTATGCCAAGTACATCAACAACAACATCAGAAACAACAACAATTAAACAAGATAATGATGAAAAATCATCTATTCAACAACCATTAATTAATCATGAATCATTTCTTGAAGGTGATATTAGTGATGATGATACATGTTTTACATCATCAAATTCAAATAATACAACATTACAACAAATGAAAATGACAGCAAATTATGGTAGTAGTCAAAATTTAAATCCAAGAAAATTATCATTAACTGAATCATTACGATCATTACCGATAACATCAGAACCAAATCAATTCGAAATTTTTGAAAGATTAAGACAAGCTGAAGAAGTAAGTAAAATGTACTATTGAAAGGAGAAAAACTTTATAGTTTATTACAATTGATATGAATCAGATTGCAATCTATTGATGTTATCATATAAATATTGAAAAATTAATTCATATCATGATTTCTATAAAAAAAAGAAAAACATTCTATTTTAATTTAGGAAAAGAAACGTCTTGAAGTCGAAAATCGTGCAATGAAACAAGAACTCGTTCGAACAAAATCCAAAATAAGCTCGTTAAAACGTGAAATGAGTTCAATTCAACAACTACATTTAGCTCAACAACAAGTTCATGCTCAGTTATCAGCTCCAACAATAGTATCCCCACGACAAGAACATAACCAACAACAACAACATTTACAGATAAATGATCAATCTTCAATATTTCTTTATACAAAAGAAGATTTTGATCAACAAAATTATCATCAACAAATAACAAATAATATGAAAAATCTTTCAACGTCGAGTAATGATGATTCATTATCTCCTCCACCTTTTCTTTTAAATACAAATCAATCATCTTCAACTCAAACACTTTCCTTAACAACAACAAATGATCAACAAACTCATTGTTCCACACATATAGATTCATCTATATCACCATCTGATGAACAATTACGACTCTATCTTACTGAAACATTACAACGAGAAAGAGATAGCGACGTATAATTTAATTTTGTCGGAATGCTGGTCGTTCATTTCTCAAAAATATTTTTTTTCTCTCTTTTTTCCTTCGATCTTTATTCTATATACATATGTACTTCTAGTCATTATAATTGCATCAAGAACAATATATTGCGTTGATTTTTTTTCTAAATTCAAATGCTGGTACATTCCTTTGTCGTCAATTGTTTTTTGTTTCTTTTTATAAAATACATTCAATCGAAATATATCTGTTGAAAAAATTTCTTCGATCTGTTTGATTAAATACTGTCTTATACAAAAAAACTTCATTTTGTTTTATTGACTATTATTTTATTCTAGGAATTACTCTATCAGTATGTATCAGAGTTGGAACCGGATGGATTTTTTCCATCCGGTCCGGTCCGGCCCGACTACTTTTGAAGTGAAACTTGCAAAACTCCGGCAAAATTATGAATTTATACGAATATTTTTGTCACATGCTCTTTTTTAACTAAAACATATACGTATAACAATTCTTAACATGATATTTCAAAAAAAAACAAATAAAGATTAGTTTTGTTAATAAAAAATTTGAAATACAAATATAATTTTCTAATTTTATGAATCGGTAAAAATTCGGTTTTGGCTGGACCTGTTCCAACTCTGATATGTATGAAACTAAATTATGAATTACTTAACTAAACTGTATTAAGATTAATTTTTGTTTGTTCCTTTTTAATACGAACATATAATACAAAGTAAATGTTTTAAATTGTATTTTGACAGTTATTCTTCACTCTCTTATTATTTTCTATTTTGACAATGTTTTCTGAGTATCTATCGTAAGATCAGCATATATATTTGTCCCATCAACAACCAATATATGATGTTATCAGTGTGCTCTACTAACATTTACTAAAACATATATAACGCAACAAGATTAGATCTAATATTACAAGTATATGACATAAAATGCAACTAGGTGGGATCCGCATGGGCCACATGTAGTAAAAAAGAAAAAGTATTTTATTTCACATTAAGACCGCACCTAAGCGTGATTGGTTGATACTATCAGCATATTGCACTAACCTTCACAAAGGCACATGCAGAAGGACAAAATTTGATGCGGTACTATGTACAAAATAATATTAAAATGAAATTAGTTCGAAGTCATAAATGTTGATATAAGAGTTAATAGATATACTGTATTTTTTTAATAAACTATATTAAATTTACTATAGAAATGAATTCATCAAGCAAAAATATCTGGCGAACATTTACGATTAGATTTTTTATTGTAACAGAATATAAAACGGTTTGAGATATATTACTTTGAATTGAAAATGAAGTATATAGAAAAATATTTTACAACGAATTGTATAAAATGAAATTTTCAAGTTCAATTCATGAAGAATTGTCTTAGTTTTTGAATGCTATTTTTCTTCCTATAACAATTAACAACCATGCAAACCAATAAATAACTAATAGAAACGAAGAAAAATAAATTAACAAATTAGTTATTAACATAGTGTTTATTGTTATTGATTATTGCCAGGTTAATAAATCCCCGAGAATTTTTTTTTTCTATAGACTAAAAAATAAAAAGAAGAAAGTTGAAGTGTGTGTTTCTTCAACTTCGAGTATATGGATGAAATATAAGCGCATTTATATCGGCTCTTGACTGCGGATTAGGAACTAATGTACGACGAAGTATATCATTAACAGATGGATCGGGATATGCTGGTTGTCCAATTGGAGGATTCGATGCTAAAGCATGATAAGTAGGTGGTCGACCGTAAACCATAAAATAAAGAATAGCACCTAATGACCAAATATCAGCTTTTGGCCCATAAAATCGTTGTAAACCAGCAACATCTTGCATGACTTCTGGGGCACTTTTTTGTTTTTATATAGAAAATCAAATAGAAATTTTTTATATTTATTATTGTTAACTTACCTAAAGAATGGAGTTCCCATACGAGCATGACTATAGAGAAATAAAAGAAAATATTTTGCATAGAAAATAAACAAAAAGGAAGTAGGTCGTTTACCCTAAACTATCAGCTTTTCTTGATATACCTAAATCAGCTATTTTAAGTGTTCGTCCAAATAGAATTAAATTATCTGGTTTTAAATCCATATGAATAATTTGATGTGCATGAAGTGTACGAACAATACTAACCATTTGATGCCAAAATTCTTTAATCATTACTGGATCGATAGATGGACCCGAATTATTGTTCATTTGTCGTAAGCGATTAATTAATGTTAATAAATTTTCTCCACCTAATTCCATAACAATATAACCTTAATAACGAAATACCAAAATAAAAATATTGATGTTTATTCAGAACAACTTCTATCTTACCTTGACCAGATCGAGCATCGAAATCAAAATCATGAATCACAACAACATGACGTGATTCTTGCCGCAATCGTTCAAGATGTGCAACTTCGTTTAGATAAGTTCGAACAAGATTTTGACTACGAGCAGGTGGCAAGCCATTTAAATTAATTACTTTAATAGCTACAGATCTACCATCCAGTCGTTTTGCTTGATAAACAGAACCTATTTTAATAATTAAAAATGAATTTCATTTTGTATAATAAATCAAATTAGAATACCAAAACCACCAGAGCCCAAACGTCGCTCAAATGAATATGGTACATTGTGAATCTGAACCGTTATACCAGTATATGGATCTTTGTTAAGGAGCCGATTAGCACGACCTATATAAATGTAATAATCAATTATATTCTATTCGAGCTTAACAATTAAATACAAACTTATCAATCCACCCATATTACTCTATTCTTGGCAAATTGAATAACCCTATGGTTGTTATTGTTATTGATATAGTAAAATATGATGCATATGTAGTTAAAAAAGAAAAACTATGCAAAAATAATAAGCGTAAAGGAAAAAAGAGAAAAAAGTAAGCAAGTGTTCCACATGAATGGATCATGTGCATCGTTGTATTTATACGAACACATGTGGGCAGATGTTATTCAAAAATTAAATCATCAAATCTTGAGGGTGTGGGTGTCCGTGTCGTTGTCCCTGTAGATACTATATCCACCTGACACCCACACCCTTTTGATTTCTGTTGATTTCTCATGATTTCTACTTGATTTCTAGTATGGAAATCAGTTTGTTCTCTCTTGGATTGAAGAATACACTTTGCTCTGTTATTCATTCTGACCTACTTAGTTCATTAACTAAAATTACCTTCATTTCAACTATTGATGTCGATTATCGATTAGATTCTACATAATTACGGTTTTAATCATTTTGTACTTGCTCGTTTCGATATTATATGTATGTCAATGTATTTTTTGAACAATTCCACGAGAAAAATCATGTTTTTTCGTTGTACCTTTTAAAGTTATTCATTTTTCAACCTGAAAACGTGTCATATGATTACTGTTTAGAATTAATTGAAAATTTTCAAAAGACACTAGTAATATCTTGCACATTAAAATAATTAAGTTGACATGTCAATCAAAAGTATATTCTATCGATATTATTAATTGAGTCAGATAACATAGAAGTATAGGACTGTTTTTTTTCAAACATACTGTTGATGTTTGAAAACATTCCACATCATCATCATTGCGTTTTAATTATCAATAATACGTAAGTTTTAATTTTCTTTTTTTTTAAAGAAATTATATAATACAATTTTAATCAATTTATATATATATCAAAGTCTATTGAATTTCTTATGTTCTTACTAGTATAGACACTCATATAATCTCTATCTAAACATATCAATCCTTAATTAGAATTGTCAGGTAAGCTGATATTCAGTTCACATAATTTATCTAAAAATTAACTTGATGTAAAAGAGAGAGAGAAAAATATATATTTTTTGACGTTTTTAATATATCATATGTGTCATTATCGCACTTTTCTTCTGTATAGATCTACTGTGTATGAATAAATGTATATGAATCGAGGAAGAGAAGGAAAGAGTAGAGAACGGAAAAAAAATCAATGAATGAATAAATACAATTGAACTTTTCGTGTGTTTTTTCGATCGACAACACTCGCCATTCAATATACATGTACATTACTCTGCTGTGTTTTTTTTGTCAATTAAATATGTTCGATAGCAAGCAAGTTTGCGGAAGACAATTTACCCTTTCTTTCTCTTTTTCTATTTATCAATGACGTGTCGCCACTACCACAACTTAGTTGCTGTCCTATATATTATTTGATCAACACTTGACTTTTTCCTATATATATTCATACAATTTAAATTTTTTGTTTTAGATTATGCGAGAATATAAATTAGTTGTATTAGGCAGTGGTGGTGTAGGTAAAAGTGCGTTAACTGTGCAATTTGTTCAAGGTATATTTGTTGGTAAATATGATCCAACAATCGAAGATTGTTATCGTAAAGTAAATTTTTTGTTTATCTTGATTTTTGTTTTTCTAAAAATAAAAACATATTTTTATTTATAAAGGAAGTCGAAATTGATGGTGTTCATTGTATGCTTGAAATTCTTGATACTGCTGGAACAGTAAAATTAATTTTTTTGCTAAAAATAAATATATATATATATATATATATGCATTTATTTTTAGGAACAATTTACAGCAATGAGAGATTTATATATGAAAAATGGTCAAGGTTTTGTTCTTGTTTATTCTATAACATCACAAGCAACATTTAATGATTTAGTCGATATAAAAGATCAAATAATGCGTGTTAAAGATATAGGTTCGGAAATACCATTAGTACTTGTTGGTAATAAATGCGATCTTGAAGATGAACGTGCAGTTGGAAAAAATCAAGGTGATTCATTAGCACGTTCATTTGGTTGTACATTTCTTGAAACATCAGCTAAATTAGAAATTAATGTTAATGAAGTAAGATCATATTTATTTATACTAAAATTTTTATTTCTTTTATATATATATATAAATAGATATTTTTTGATTTAATTCGACAAATAAATCGAAAAACTAAACAACCAAAACAAACGAAACAAGTTTCATCACAAGATTATAATCATGCTGAACCACAAGCTGATTATAA